TTACATATATATGCGTATCTACAACTCTCATGATGAAAGCTAATTAAGCATAAATTATATATATGGGAATTATTAGGTGACCAACCACGGTGTACCAGAGAGCCTGATGCAATCAATGATCGACGCGTGTCATAGATTCTTTGATCTGCCGGAGGAGGAGAAGAAGGAGTTCCAAACAAGGAACCTGTTGGATCCAATCAAGTGCGGCACCAGCTTCAACGCCAACATTGAAAAAGTTCATCTCTGGAGGGATTTCCTCAAGGTCATAGCCCACCCTGAGTTCAACTCACTCTACAAACCTGCTGGATACAGCGAGGTTTCACTGGAGTTCAGCAGCCTGATAAAGCGATCGGCATTCCTCCTCATACTGATCATGGACTGGTGACCCTCCTCATTCAGAATGAGATGGGTGGCCTTGAAGTCAAGCACAAAGACCAATGGGTGTTGGTGAATGCTACTCCGGGAGCTTTTATTGTTAACATTGGTGACCAAATGCAGGTACCAAAATAACACCCAACTTTTTTAAATCTAAAACCCATCTTATCTAAGAATTACAAACTAATAATTCTCTACTTATTTTCATAAATTAAGTACCGACTATTTTTGTGGCAGATTTTGACAAACGAGAAGTACAAGAGCATATGGCATAGGGCTGTTGTGAACAACAAAGCTACAAGGATATCAATAGCTGTGCCCCATGGACCCTCACTGGACACACCAGCTTTACCAATCCCAGAGTTGTTAGAGAGAGAAGGCCAACCCCCAAAATACGTTGGGATGACATATGAGAAATTCATGGAGCTTCAAGCAAGCCCTGCTGCCCTCACGAAACCTTGCTTACATCACCTGCGGGTCAAGCATAACTGAAGCTACAGCCTACACATATATGCATATTCATTAGAGTCCTCTTATTGCCATGAATAAGAGCTTTGTTGCTCCTATACATTGTCCTGTTCCGATTCTGAATTCATGATATTTCACAGTGAGACATTCTTGTCAAGTATTGGATATATATAATGTAACCCTAGCACATGTTACTCGAGATTCGAATTTTTACTTGTATCTTCTGTACTTTCATACTATTATATATGCGATTCAAAGGCCCTATGCCATTTAGTGTCCCGATTTAATTTATTTTCAACTATAAACCACAATCTCTGGTATAAGAAAATTGACGGGCTAGTGAAAGGATTACTTGAGAAACTGAGTACTGAAGAAGCAATGGCAGAGCTAGAGCCTATTTATTGAAGGGGCGGCAATAGCTGACATTTTTTATTTATAAATTGCACACAAATTGTCAAGTTTTATATAAAGCGTAAAGGAGTTTCTGAAAATTGGTGGCCACAACCACTTCTAGCCTTGAAACGGGGAAATCACTATTTCGCTATCCTTGGTCAATAACGTTTTGACATAGTGACACGCGTAATAACACTTCCACATGGCATAGCATTACAGGCAGAGAATAGCAAAACAATGTTATCCACGTTGTAACTAAGTTTTTCTTGAATTATGTGGCTCCGCCCCTATGAAAAAGGCTTCTTGCTTGAGTTGTAATCTTAAAGCATCTCCAAGGTTAATGTCAAATATAAAACATTAAATCGAAATTTGATGGCTTACGTGGCAATTTGACATTTATTGCACAATTTCATTCCACCCGATATATCTTTTGTCTTTGGTAAAATAAGCAATCAATAAAGTAATGATAAATGAAAAAAAAAGAAAGGCATAAAATAAAATAATGATAAATTGTAGAAGTGGTGACTCCCATTTGTGCACCTTTGACAAATGTAATAATTTTAAATAAAAGTCGTGATGGTACAAAGCCCAAAGTAATGCTTTGTGGGCCATTTGGTTTAAAAAGTTGCAAATTATATGCAAATAACCCTTGAAGCTTGTAGTGGCAATTTTTGTTGACGTGAGTCTTCCTTATTAATCAAGAAGATTATTTCCTTGATTAATTAAGAGATTTATTTTCTTATTTTATATAGTTGATAAATCATTGTATAATTAGGAGATACTATCCTAATTGGTAATTACTGTATCTATTTCCTTGTAAAGCTCTCATGTAAACTCCTATATATACTTCGTTATGGAGAAGAATATAACTTAACATAAAGTATTCAAACCAAATTCATATTTTTGCATGGTATCAGAGCAATCAATCCTAGGTTATCTCTAAACACTAAGTCAAATTCCTCAAATCCAAATCCCTCAAATCTAAATTCCTCAAATCCTCTTATCAAAATCTCTAAATAAATACTCTCAAACCTTATACACATACCTCTCAAATCAAATTCCTACATCAAATTCATACATCAAATTCCACATATTAAATTCCTCACATTTTCATATCACATCTTACTTCCATTGCGATGTCAGGATTATTTATGATTCTCTCACTCCTTGCAAACTCGTAGAAGCATGTGGTCAATCCTGCTCACCTGGCTACCCAGCCTCGAACTACCCAAACAAAATGACCCCCACAATGTGATTACAAAAATATACCACCCAAACTGTCCAAAAAGACTCCCCCTATCTAGGACATATCTTATAACATAACTCTAGCTAAAAAAACTAGAGAACCATTAGACTCATCAGAATTATCAGAAGCATCGTGATTTGACGCTTGTTACTTTCAATGTCTCCATGGTTTGTGTAGCAACAAGTGGAGCCATCGCTTAAAACTTAACTCAGAAGATGATGATGAGTATACACACTATTATAAGATGTAAATTAGGAAGGCCACGAGAGTGTGTTGAGTGGTTGTATATTAAAGAAGTGGTTCCTATTTATAGCTACTTCGAGGAGGGATGTATCTCAACTTTAACATGATGTCAAATATATTTTAAAAGTGTTGGCCATAATTAAAAGCCTTCTAGAACACCCACTTATCCATAATACACACACAACACATGCATATGTGGATTATATCAATAAGTAACTCTTAATTAAATGTTGTTTTTATTAAATTTTGACCTTTTTGGAAGTTTATTTCGCATTTGGTGGTGTCTGCGAAGGTGAAGATACTCCACATCTTGTTTTGGGGTATTATACATCATGTTTGGGGTGTTCAACTAGTTTAATCTTTTGTTCATGTTGAAATTGGCATTTAGGTGATGAGGGGTAAATTAAATGACACTTAAACAAAACCACAACAAACTTCACACACTTTAGACCTTGACCAATACTCTTATGACTAGTCAACTGTCAGACATGAATAATCATAACCAAGAACATACACAAAGCATATCAATATGTACTTGCAAGCCTAGAGAATTACTAGTGAAAACCTATGTACTCAGAAGGACCCATCAATCTAGGCATCCTCTGTACTAGCAACAACTATGGTGAAAGTGTGTGAAGGCATCATAATCAAGTAAGCATCAGACAACAGAAAAAGATGACTAGTCAACCGCCAGAACACGAACCCAGAAATACATGTGATGACTAGTCAACTGTCAAGAACACAAACCTAGAAAATTAAGATATGCAAACCAGAAATTTGTTCACCTAGAAACCCATCACTGAGAAAAACTGGGGGTCATCAACCGACTAGGCAATCCACTAAGTAGAAAATA